CTCAGGCTAGTTTCGAACTCCTGAGCTCAAACAATCTGCCCGCCTCGGCCTCCCAGAGAGCTAGGATTACAGGCGTGAGCCACCGCGCCCAGCAAGAAGGGATTTTTAATATTAAAAAACAAATGACAATAACACAAAAAACAACAAATCTACCTCAGGAGCCTCACATCCCTTCTTTAAAAAATTTGAACTAGTTTTTAAAGTAATACATGTACAAAGTAAACAAACATCTTTTCAAGTGGCCCAGAGATATATTAACTGACAAATAAAATTCTCCATCCCATCTAAGTCTCACTTCCTGGATAAAACCACTGGTAACACTTTCTGTATCCTTCTAGAAATTTTCTATGCATATGCAAATATATAGATACATATAAATTTATATGTTTTCTAGTATGTTTTTCCTCTATTTTCAGTTACCAAGACATCTTGGGCATCCTTCCTTATGAGCACACAGTCACCCCTCCCTTTTCAATGCTTGCCTGATGGGTGTGCCTTATTGATTTAACCTGTTCCTAATGATGGGCACTCAGGTTGTTTTCCATGTGCTGCTATTATCAACAATGCCACAGTGAAACAACTTGTTTAATGACTTTTCGTGAATCAAACATTCCATTCTCACAATGACCCTATGAGGTCATTTACCAAGGAGGAAACAGGCATGAAGAGGCCCAGGTACTTGCTGGTGTTCCCACAGCTAGCGTGTCCTGGAGGAGCCCAGGCAGGTGGGTGCCAGAGCCTTGTTACTGAAGCGCTTCGCTGCCTCTGCTCTTAGTGCAGAGAAGTGAAGGGTCCAAGTGTTCAAATGCCTCTTTCTTCATATTATTAAACGTTCTCATCCTCGACAATATCATAGATGAAAAAAATGACATTTGGTTGTTTTAGTTTGCACTTGTTTAATTATGAGAGCACTTTCCTCCATAAGTTTATTAGTTGTTTGTATTTATTTTTCTCCATGATGTCTTTTTTAGGGCATAAGTCTGTGTATTCCAGATATTCTATAACTGATAAAAATACAGTATCTGCCTTACAGTACAACAGTCATTAAATTCCCTCTGTGAAGGAGAAGCAGCTGGTACGGGTACGTTGAAGATCAGTTTCTCAGTATCTAGTAAAGCTGAAGACATGCGTTACTTGTGACCTATTAACTCCGCTTCTCAGTGCACACCATAAAGAAACTCTTACACACGGACTTACGAACTTCCCAAGAATGTCCACGGCAGCACTGTTTCTTTTTCTTTTTCTCTTTTTTTTTTTTTTTTTTGAGACAGAGTCTCACTGTCGCCTCTAGCGTTAGCCTAGCTCACAGCAACCTCAAACTCCTGGGCTCAAGCAATCCTCTTGCCTCAGCCTCCCGAGTAGCTGGGACTACAAGTGTGCACCACCACACTCAGCTAATTTTTACTATTTTTAGTAGAGACCAGGTCTCACTCTTGTTTAGGCTGGTCTCGAACTCCTGAGGTCAAGTGATCCTCCTGCCTCGGACTCCCAGAGTGCCAGGATTACAGGCGTGAGCCACCACACCCAGCCAGCAGCATTGTTTCTAATAGCAAAAATGAAAACCCTCTCAGTGTCCATCAATAGGAAAATACATAAACTGTCACAGACTCATGCAATGGAATACTGAACGTAAGAGTAAACTGTTGCCACATACAAAAGCTACTCGCGGAAGGATATGTTCAGTTCATTGAGGCCTCATAAATTAAGGGTAAAAGACTGCAGGACAATACTCCTATTGCTTGTGGACACACACCCACGGTACAAGTAGGAAAACAGGCCCAGGAACACGGTTAGCTTTGGAGAGGGAGGGGTACTCAGGGGCTTCAATCCTACCTGTGATGTTTTCTTTCTTAAGCAGTGGACATGCAGATGGCTGCTAAGTTGTTTTCCATACTTTTGTCACTTAAAAAAATAGTTTACCTTATATTCCCAGAGATTTTGGGGGGGCTTCACGCCTAGTGCTTTGACACGTTCTAGCTCCATGAGGATAGCTCTCCTGTGGCTGCTGTTTTCTATAGTATATGGTGCCCTGGAAAATTCTTCCTCTGTCAAGCTTAAAAGCAATCTGTGGGGGGACGGGGGTAGGAGAAGGTTTCTTTTGAGATTATATATTGCAAGCAAACTTTCCACATTCAGAGTTCTACCTTATTGACTAAATACTTTAGGCTTGAAGTTAAGGTGAGACATTTAATATATGCAACGACATTAATAACAGCAAATAATTGAATTGCTTACTATTTGCCAGTGACTATCTGAAAATGCTTTCCATAAATCATCACTGATCCATTTAACAGTTCTGCAGGGAGGGTGGCATTACGCCCCTTTAGTGGATCAGAAAACTGGCTTAGAGAAATGAGGTGATGTGC